AGGGGAATAGGAGGTGGGGAGAGGAGGGGAGAGGAGGGGGAATAGGAGGTGGGGAGGAAGTGGTACAGAAGAGCATTAGCCATGGGATGGAGGAGACAATGGCTGCCAGTACTATGACCTGAGGAGTGGTGCTGACCCATACACTCTGAAAAATAAAGATCTCTCAGAGAGTAAAAAGGAATTCCATTAAATTTTCTTTAAACATTTCTATACTGGTGGTTGGGGGTAGTAGGCATACATTATTTATAATTTAAAAAGAGAAAAAAAATGACTAAATGAAATGTCATGCTAAAGCACAGATGGCAGTTGGACACAGTGGCCTGGAGAAGCCACAATCCTCTCACCTCGAGCTCCACACTTGCTGTGTAATCTCATCAGCACCTACTGCATGCCTGGCATGGAGTGGGTGCTAGGAACAGCTATATCCTTCCCACAGCAGCCCACAGGAGGTGTATAGTTCCCATTTCCAGACAAGGAGGATGAGGAGGGCCTGCCCCTAGTGGAACTGCTACGTACCAGGCATGATATGGGTGCTTCTGCTGCACTGTCTGGCTTGGCCCTCACCACAGCCCCAGGGCCAAGGTTATCATCCCCTCTCACACAGAGGTTGCTTAAAGTGTCAAGGGCAAACATCTGGCTCATGGGCTGTGAGGTAGCTGAATTCCAAGACAAGATCAATTCTACAGGACCTGTTCCCCTGCTCAGTACATGCTCTGAGGTCCAGGATACTTATCCACATCAGACTCCTAGCACAGTGCCTTGCACAATGGGCATTTGCAACAAGTGTGTGGAATAAATGAGTAAATTCACAGGCAACTATATGGACACAACACTTCTTCCTAGCTTCTTGTGGAGATAATCCTGACACTTGATGAGTGTTTAAGAAATGCTTGGTGAATTAATATGTGAATAAAACACAACCGCATACTAATGTTAGAATAGCTGAAGGCAACAACAAACATCACTGCCTGAACAAAGACAGTGTGGTTGCTGCAGAACTCTCTAATGGGTGAAACCCACAAAGCAAGAATCCTGGAACCATGAAGGATTCCTATATCACTGAATATTCAGAAAATAGGTACAGATTTTAGTACAAAAAGAGTGTTAAATCTTTCCTTAAAGTTATGCATAATGTCCCTTTATAAGAAAGTAACCTTCTATGTGTAAGGATAAAACTCTCACAAACTGTTGGCAGAAGTATTTAATTTGGTTGGCATTTATTACAATTTTTAATTTGTAAACACTTCACTTAATAATTCTATTTCTAGGAATTTATCCTAAACTTTGTTTCAAACTCGAAGACATTCTTTCTACCCATGAAAGCAGTTAATAATAACTCACTAAATAAATCCCTGAAGATACTGGCTCTATAAAGGATTCCAGCTTTCCTGAACAACTCCCTAGCACTTGGTGCTTTTCCCAAACTACAAATCTCACTGATTTAGGAACTCCAGTACTATTTTTAGTGAGTTCTAGTAGCAATTAGCAGCTAGCTGTCAGCTTCCTGTGCTTAATTCTCTTTGAGGAAACTAGCAAAGCTGGGAGCTTTCTGGGAAAAAGAGGAACAAATATTATGCAGAGAAATCATACAGGTTTTTATAATCAACCTGATTCTGAACTCACGAATTTAGGTAACAACCAGAAACTGACAGCAGTGTGTGCTGGCCTGCTCGAGGAGGGTGGGGTCTCAGATCCCATGATGAAAGTTGGCTCTCAGCCCAACAAGGCTGGCTGGTTTCTGCAGGTTTCCTCTGTGTATTCTCTCCTATTGAGCACACCCTGTCTCCATGCTCAGCAACCAGTTTTCACTAAATTCACTCAGTGTCACATAGCATGGGTACCTCCTTGGAAATCAAAAGTCTGTTTGCCATCCACTTGGCTCCTTGGGTTTCTACTCACCTCTGTGACCACAGAACACTTTGAGACAGATAAGCTAAAAATAAAAAGTCAACAACTGACAGCAAATCAAACACATACTGAATAAGCTGCAGAAAAATGTGTAAAAAGAAAAGTCAATACAAGATGAGAATAATCTGCTAAAGATAAAATTGCCTCTTATCTTTTCCAGGTGATTAAAAAAACAGGTTTCTGAAAAATTATTAATAACTAGAAAAAAGTGATAAAAATTATAAATAAATTACATGGCTGCTAAATGTGTCTTTCAGCCAGCTGCTTTAGATCATGTTCGAACATGTATACAGAATTAAAATGAAGGTCAGAGGTCCAATTGGAACCTGCAAGCTCATACCACTCAGTCAACACTGGCCAAGAGGTCCGGCATGAGGATGAGGGTCCAGTCCACAAGGGGTCTAGCACAAGTGGTGGCCACCTCCAGACCAGACTTTGAATAAACCAAGTTTACGCCTTGGTTCGATCATAGGTGAGAAGGCTAAAGTGACCTCTTAAAAAGCAAACTTCCCTTTGGGTGGAAGCAACCCAAATGCACATCAACAGATGAATGAATAAACAAAATGTGGTATATACATAAAATGGAATATTACTCAGCCTTAAAAAGAAAGACAATTCTGACACATGCTACAGCATGGATGCACCTTAAGGACATTATGCCAAGTAAAACCAGCCAGACACAAAAGGACAAATACTGCATGATTCCACTCATGTGAGGCCCCTAGAGTAGTCAGATTCATAGACACAGAGTAGCATGGTGGTTACCAAAGGCTGAGGTGGGGATAAGGAGGTAGTATCTAATGGGTACTATCATTAGTACTAAGTGGGTATTAAAAGTACTAACTTCCAGTTGGGGAAATCAAACGGTTCTGGAGGATGGTGGTGATGGTTACAAGCAATGTGAATGTAGTTAATGCCACTGAACTGTACACTTACAAATTGTTAAAATGGCATATTTTACATTATACATATTTTACCACAATAATACAAAAGAAAAGAGAACTCACCTTTGAAGTTGCCAATATACAGGCCAGGCAGGATCTAGGGAAGAGACACAGACCAGATGTGAGTGTTAGGGACCTAAAACTGACAGTGTTTTGCGTATAGAGTAGCCGTGGGCAAACTACGGCCCGCGGGCCGGATCCGGCCCGTTTGAAATGAATAAAACTAAAAAAAAAAAAAAGACCGTACCCTTTTATGTAATGATGTTTACTTTGAATTTATATTAGTTCACACAAACACTCCATCCATGCTTTTGTTCCGGCCCTCCAGTCCAGTTTAAGAACCCATTGTGGCCCTTGAGTCAAAAAGTTTGCCCACCCCTGGTATAGAGGCTGACCCATCAGCAGAGTAGCTGGAGCACAGCTCAGGCTTGTCACCTGCCACATCCACTCCCAGCACCTCCCTAGATGGACAGCACGCACAAGTGAGCATCCCTGTCTCCAGGCTCTTGCCTTCCCATGGCCAATAGTAAGCCTGCCCAAATTACCTACTGATGGTTGCATGTTGGTGCCCATTGACTTGTGGAACTTGAAAGACCAGGATTCTCCATGACTCCTCCTTTTACATACACCCTCCACCACCCTCTACACCTGCTGCACATGCAAGGCTTCTCTCACAGCTCTAGCAAACCTGCCCTCTGCTGTCTGAGGCCTTTGTGCATGCTGCTCCCACTGTTAGGCAGCTATGTCTCATGCCCAAAGGAGGCCTATCCTGATCCCCACGTCTGGAGTAGACCCTTGCTTCAGTGCCCACAGTCTGCTGTGCTCCCCTTGTAGTGATGCTGTCACAGGGGCACTACCAGGTGAAGGTCTGTGCCCGCTGCTGGGCTGGAAAACTTTATGGGCAGCAAACACATCCTGTCACTCACAGCTGCACACCCAACTCCTGGCTCAGGGCTTGGCCCATGATTATCATTCAACAAAAAATTGCTAAATGAATGAATGGACTGTCTAAACGGGCAAGTTAATTAAGAACATACATTTGCTCCTAAACGTCTACTTCCCTAAGACAGTGTTTTCAAACCAAACTATCCACCAGAATCTGTTAAAAATTCAAATTTCTGGACAAGCCCCCAGCCCCAGCCCCCAAATAAAATGGTTCAGTAGATCTGAGATGAGAACGGGTACTGTATTTTTCACACTTTGCAAAATACGAAACCAGAAACTCATTCTTGTCTTGCCAATACTTTGTATGGAAACTCTAAAGTCCAATTAAGGACACTGCTGCAGAAGCTAGAGCACCAGACAGATTTCCCAGTGCACACAGCACACAGGTCTTGATGACACTTCCCTACAGACCCCCAGTGCCCAGGCAACACCCTCATGTAACAACACTACCCTGTACCCGGCTCTGCTCCACACTCCCTCTTTTTTGCCCACTTCCACTAAGAGATCTGAAAGCAGCACCCAGTGACGCTCTTCAGGGCATGGATTTCACTGAGCATCTTTGCCTTGCTAAAAACTGATGGCACATGCACAAACCACTGTAGAGCCTGACCTACTCTATACAAAGCAGCCACATTTGGGTTCTCTTGTTGAGACCACATACCCTGATGTAGGCCTTTGAATCCGGAAAAAATACACAAATGCACTTGAGCTTCACAGACCATCAGGCAAGTCACCAATTAGCAAAGTCCTACCCAACCCTGAAAGCAGCAACCCCACTGGTACTCCACTGACCAGTTGGAGGTTACTGACAGGAGGCTCCTCCCTCCTCTGGACTCCACTTATGCCTCACTTATCACTTCCTTCTACGTACTCCTCAATTACACCCCCCCGCCCCCCCATCCCACACACACACATTTATTTGCTTCTCTTGAAACTTTAGTGCAGTTCCTGTGTTCAGCTTCTTCAGCCCTCCCCTCTGACTTACTGCAACAGCTTCCTAGACATCTCCCTACCTCTGGACTTGACAACTCCAAAGATTCCTCAACCTACCTCCAAGGTGCAAAGCTCATCATGTGGTTATTTCAGATTAAAATCTTCTTAGGGCTCCAAGTAGCTATCAGGATGACACCTATATATGACACCTCAGCAAATGAGACCTGCAAGGACCAAGGTTGCTATGTCTACAGCCTCTGCCCTATGCTTAGCACCTTCACCCATCTTCCCCTCATCCAAGGAAGACACAGGCCAGGCCCCCCAACCCAGCATCCAGGTTTTATGGGAAACAACCTAATTTTCAAACACTGTCAACTACATTAAGAAAAACAATCTTAAACATTGCGATAGATAAGTAAAACACAAATGCAGGCTGACTATAGCCCACAACAGTCTAATTTACCTGCTGCCTGCACATATGTTTTGTCTAAACTCAAATGGTTTCCCCTAGATTGGTAAGTACTCAAGTAAATGTTTTTTCAATAAACAAATAAACAAGTGAATAGGGTGGGAGGAGTCAAAGCAAGGAAAGGAGAGATATGAAAACAATGGTGAATGAAACCTGTGAGATGAAATTGTGTCCCTTTCTGCCCTGGCTGGTTTCCCTTTGGGGTCAGTGAACCAGGCTGGGGCACTGGGGCTGGGCTGAGGAAAGCAGCACCCTGAGGAATGCCAGGGCAAGAGCTGGCAAAGGCAGAGATCTGAGCTTACTAAAATCAAGAAGCCCACTTACTAAAGTCATTTAAGATGCACATTCTGTATTCAGTTAAAATATTTTTAAGTAATATAAGGAGACAACAGAGTATGTCAGTAAACTTTTAACTCAATTTTCCAGACTAGAAGAGTAAGCTAGAGTTTCAAGGGCTGGAAATAAAAAGCAAATTGCTCAATCTCAGTTTCTGCAGTTTCTGCCACATAAAATTACAAAACAAGATCAAGGACGGCTGGAGGACCATTGGCAGGGAGAAAAATTCAATTTTTGTTTTCTAGAGGAATAAAAGCCCATAAATCTTTAAATTTCTATACCAAACTTAAAACTGTAATTCAAACTTAAAAATAAAAAAAATTTGCCCTAACCGGTTTGGCTCAGTGGATAGAGCGTCAGCCTGCGGACTGAAGGGTCCCAGGTTCGATTCCAGTCAAGGGCATGTACCTTGGTTGTGGGCACATCCCCAGTAGGGGGTGTGCAGGAGGCAGCTGATTGATGTTTCTCTCTCATCGATGTTTCTAACTCTCTATCCCTCTCCCTTCCTCTCTGCAAAAAAAATCAATAAAATATAATTTTAAAAAATAAAATAAAAACAAAAAAATTTGACCCTATTTCCCCAATATTATTGTTACTAATAATATCTAAGTTCAAAAAAGGAGACAATAAAGTGGAACAAAATAATTTTCCAGCAGACAGATGCTTGTAGAGGAGCCCAGGGAAGAGGTGAGAATTCACCTGGGACAGCATGGACAGTGAACTCACACCTGGTAGGAAGTAAGGACAGATTAAGGAAAGAAGTTAGTAAATGCAATTTGGGAATATTCTATGACTCTAAAAGAATAAGTACAGAATTGGTCCTAATCACCTTTGGGCCTTGGAAATAACTGTTCCTTCCCTCTGCCAAGAATATTTTTTCCCTGTTGTTCACCTAGGTGGTTCCTTGTTACTTAGGTCTCCCATGAGATGACAGCTCCTAGGGAGGTCTTTCCTGACCACCTAACTCCCTAACACCTCTACCATATCACCCTGTTTTATTTTCTTCATCGCATTTATCAAGACCTAAAATTATTTTATTTGTTTATTTTTCTGACTGACCTTGAAGCAGGGTCTTGCGCCCTGCTGTGTCCCAAAAGCCTGCCACTGAGTCTGGCACATGAAGAGATAATCACTGAAGGAAGATGCTGACACTGCTGGTCAAAAGATACTTATTTTTGTTAAAGGACTGTCTGGAGATAGGTAATGAAAGGTAGACTCCTTCTGCAGTAATACTTTGAGACCATGCTAAAAATTTTCCATGGTTGATGGCTCCTCTTGATCAATATTGTTCACATCCACACCTTACTAACACTGGTCATACAGAAATGCATAAAATCAAATCCTTAGCTGCAAGAAAGATTTTAAACACAAAAGGATACTATTTCTAAGGCAGGAAATATTTTGAGATTACTTTTTAAACATTTCTTAGTATTTCAGGATGCCATGGAATCTAAGACCACCACCCAAACAGATATAAGGGAGAAAATTCCTGATCAAGCAGTAGTACAAGGTAATGGGGGTGGAGGAAGGCTTATAATTCTCCCTAGGTCAGAAAGGACTTTCTGAATTTTAAAGCCACGGGTGAGGGGGAGAACTCTGGGGGATTCCTGAAGGGTTAAATGTCACAGACTTTCTTAATGCCATTTGGCTAAGAAGTTAACCAGTTTGCACTTACAAAAGAAAGAATCTGAGAATACTCTTGCGTGCACTTACATGCCGTAAGCATCTGTTCCTTCAATATGAAATGAATCCGTAATGCTGAAAAGAGAAAATATGCAGGGAGTAGTGTTGAGAGGATAGAGAGACCACCAACACAGCGCCATCTGTCCATCAGCCCCACAGACACAGCTGTACAGGTGCCACTCACAGTACACTTGCCTCCCACAGAGGGAGTCATCTCTGTAAGTTGCTTCAGACCAACTTGGATGGCACATTTATTTCCCACAGGGTCTAACACAGTGCCTGGATGATAGCAGGTGTTCAATAACATAATTTGATGACTGGGCAAATGGACAACTGAATAGATTATGAAGGAAGTAAAGTCAGGTGCCATCATGTGGAAACTGCAGCATCCAACAGCACAAAGATGTCTGACCTTCGAGCTTCTTCCCATACTACACAGTGCTTCTTTACCTCTTAGGCCCTCTTCGGCCTTTAAGAATGATTGGGTTCCAGATAACACAGACGTCAGGAGATTCTGAGTGAAGAACCCTAAGTCAGTGGTTCTCAATGAGGGATGATTTTGCCCTCCAGGGGACATCTAGCAGTAATACCTGGACACATTTTTGGTTGTGACATGGGGGGAGGGGATTACTGGCATCTAGTGGGTGGAGGCCAGGGATAGTGCTAAACCTCCCACATAGTACACAAGGCAGTCCTCACAACAAAGAATGCTACAGCTCAAACTCAATACTGCAGAGGCGGAGAAACCCTTGTTTCTGCCTTGGGGGCATATCCCCTGAGCTCTTTCCCCTTGAACTACACTCCTTTAGCAACTATACTCCCGTATCATCCTAAGGAGAAAAGAGCTATGCTACCACAGGTGTCGACCATATCCAAGGCAGATGCCATCACTACTGTAACTACTGATGTGCCAAATCCAAGTGCAGATTTGCACTTTACAGCTTGTAAAAATGTCTTCTAATCAATTCTCATTTGCTTCTCTCAAGAATCTGGGCAGAAACTTGGGGAAGTATCATTAAACTCATTTTAGAGCAAATAGGAGACTAGATAAGCTACCCACCATCCCTATGAATCGAGGGAATAGAGAAACCAAAACTCAGAAACATTCACAGTAAAAAAGAAGGAACTCTTACCATTTGCAACAGCAATGGACCTGGAGAGCATCATGCTAAGCGAAATAAGCCAGTCAGAGAAAGATAAATATCATATTATCTCACTCATTTGTGGAATATAATGAACAACACAAACTAATGAACCAAAATAGAGCCAGAGGAGAAAAAATATACTAGAATATAATAGAAGTAATCCTGTTATTTGCAGATTTTTTTTTATTTGCAGATTTTTAATATTTCCTACAACTTTTGTGATATACTATGTTAGTACAGTTTTGGTAATATTATTATACTTATAATCCTTTTATTCTTGAAATATTGTTTATTGTATGTAATATTATTTTACGTAAGATCATTTTTCTTGAATAATTGGTGGTTATTGCATGTAACATTATCATATTTAAAATTTTTCTTGAGATATTAATGTTTATTGCATGTAACATTGTTATATTTAAAATAGTTTTTCTTTAAATAAAAAAAAAGAAACATTCAGTGACTTGTTCAAGATTGCAGCATGAAGCAGCAGAGTGAGAGACACTCTAAGTCAGGCTTTCTGGTAGCTTGTCCCTCTTTTACAATAGTGGGCTTCTCATCTAAAAGTGATGCACTAATTGAAGTGTTTGCCTCCTATTATCATAAGCAAGTTTCCCATGAAATACTAGGACAACCCCCAACATCCCTTTTCACCCAGCTTTTAGAGGACACAGAGCAGAGTGGGAGGAAGGAAGAGGCTACCAGACTGGGCAGCTGGGTGCTAGATGAACTGTCTTTTAAGCCAGAAGATGCTCTCAGATCCTACCCTAGGATGATAACATATTAGCCCACTTCTAGGTCATTAGTTCAGGTTGATCAAGATAAAAACATACATTTAGAGACGCATTTGGGTCGGTTTCTCCAATATAATGCTGGCTAGAAAAAATGGGTATTTGTTTTTGATGGGGTATTACATTACTACTTAAGACTAATAAGATGATAATGAGATAGTCATTTTCTTTATAAGTCCTCCCCAAAAGATTTGGGGGTTTAGACACTTGAGAGAACTTTGAGTCAATTAGGAGTTTGAGAAGGCTCCACAGAAACATGATATTTGCATGCAATCGCATTCAGTTTCACTCCAATCCTCACAGAGACATTTACTAGTCCCTTGGTCGGCAAACTGAGGCTCGCGAGCCACATGCGGCTCTTCGGCCCCTTGAGTGTGGCTCTTCCTAAGCCTTAGGAGTGCCCTAATTAAGTTAATAACAATGTACCTACCTATATAGTTTAAGTTTAAAAAATTTGGCTCTCAAAAGAAATTTCAATCGTTTTACTGTTGATATTTGGGTCTGTTGACTAATGAGTTTGCCGACCACTGTACTAGTCTGACCCTTTTAGCAGCACAGAGAGGCACTCTGTGTTATGGCTATGAACCTGATCATCTGGCTTAGAGTCCAGGCTCTGCCACTCACCAGATGGGTAACTTTGGGCTGGTCACTTAAACTCTGTGTACCTCATTTGTAAAACAGGAATACAAATAACAGTACCTACTATACAGGGCTGTGGTGAGGATCAGAGGTAAAGTCTCAAGACTTGCCCCGGCATACAATAAGCTCATTAGTGATTATAAATTGACCAGTTCAGAGAATCTATTTGGGAATTGCACAAAAGAGAATGAAACGATAGTTTTAGTTGCCTCCCTTTCCCTCCTTTTGCTTTATCAATGTCAAACATGAAGAAAGAGAGGAGGTGGCTTTCCTATTTTGCAATTAATTAGGAACTCTGGGTAGCTTTCTCAAGTTATTTTTTAGCATCTTTAGAATGTATTTGGGCTGAACTGGCACCCCAGGTCAAAGGAAAGGCTTCTCCTATCTTCAAAATCAGTGGGAACTGGGTTCCAAACTCAGTCCTGCCACTTCCTAGCATTTGGTAGGACCTTAATCATGCTACTTCATCTCTCCAATCTGTACAAGTCTCCATTTCCAATTTGTACAAAAAGGAAAAGACAGGCTGACCTCCTAGGGCTGTAGTGAGGCTTAGATTTTACAAACTGCAGGCACATAATATGAGGCTCAAAAAAATAAGAGATCACAATTGCTGTGTTCTCTTTCTGTATTTCCTCATCGTCTTCAATTGGCCAGAACAAAGAAGCCTTTCTCCCTTACACTCTCTGTGTAACACACTGTATACACCCAACTGAGATGGGCATGGTGCTCTCCCAGAGACTGGAACATATGGATAAGATCCTCCCTGGGGGCATGAAATATCAGTAAAAATGCCAAGCAGTCAGAATAGAATCTGCATTGTTTAGTTCATAAGTTTTCTTTGGTCAAGGATGATTAACTTGACAGATTGGAAAGAAATCTTGTCCCAGTAACCTCAGGACACACGTACTGTAGATTACGTTTTCAGTTTGAAGGGCATTATACATTACTCATAAAAGTGCTTAGAAAAGCATTTCTATGGTTAGCACCTTATAATAATTCCACTGATCCTGCAAATCAACCTTTATTTTTTCTTTTATAGATAGGGAAAATATGAAGCCTAATTCCAAGTCACACAATAAGACATGAACAAACTCTAGTTAAGGCCTTTAATTTCTGGCTTCCGGCAACCTACTTTGCCACTAACTAACCTTGTAACTTTGAGTAATACATTCTGATCTCAGCTTAAACATCTCTACCCCAGCAGGACCCTTGGCCTGGCCTGAATGACACTTCAAGCCTTCTCTCATCACATCTACTTACCCCATGCTCCTGAAATTGCCCATCTTATCCTGGAGCTTGTATTCCTTCCCACCCTGTTTTTATGCGGGCCTTCTCTCTCTCTTTCTCTTTCTCTCTCTCTCTCTCTCTCTCTCTCTCACACACACACACACACACATACACACCCATGTTGTGTAATACAGTAATACATACACACCCATGGCTGAGTACTTAAAATGAGATGTGATTTAAATATAAAATATACACCAGACTTTGAAGACGTAGTACATAAAACTGTAAACCATTCTATAAATAATTTTATATATTGGATACATGTTGAAATGACAAAATTCTGAATATATTTCATTTGAATAAAATATATTACTAACTTTAATTTGGCCTGTTTCTGTTTACTTTTTTAATGTGGCTACTAAAAAATCTAGATTAAATACTTGGCTCACATATTTCTATTGGGCAATTGCTGGTCTATACTGAAGGTTCTATCTGTATCATTACCATCACACTTTCACCCCACCTGCTCCACTAGCACAGCACCTGACTATAATAGCAAGTACACAATAAATATTTGTTGAATTAAGGATGTTTCTAAATCTGTCTGTATGTTTCGCCATCTCTACATTGGAGATAGTGGTTCTATTTACAACACAAGATGGTTAGGATAATAACATTATCAAGAAATCTATTACTTTCTTTGAAGGGTAAATTTATGATATGACATTTTACTGAAAAGCCTTAAGTTAATTTTGAACCCTTGGGCAATCATTTGTATTTTGAAATATGTTCTTTGAGTTATAATATAAATGTAATAAATGAAATGCTGAAAGAGCTGGAAAGTAAGCAATTTAAGTGGGAAAAAGTGTTGAAAGAACCAAAGGAAAGCCGAGGTATGACCAGTTAATGGGAAAGCAGACAGGGCCCAAAACTTATGCAAGCGGCTTTACTGTTGTTTTGTGTTAATTTAAGAAGCAGAAGACTCATGGTGCTGATGGATTCCAGTACTAATGGGGACACAGTACAAGTGGTTATCCAAAAGCCAAATAGTCTGTTTCCAAATTTGATCACTACCCCACCATCCACTCCCCCAACCCCCAACAAAAACACCCACACACAATGAATACAATTCTGGTTCCCAAAAAACCCTCAGGTATGCAAGCCCAAAACACAGTAAGTAGTTCTTTCATCAACTGGATCTGCAGAACACAAGAAACAATGTGGGCAGGCGGAGAGCTAAGAAGGTACACAGGACTACTTCTACTGTAAGTCTCCTTCCCCACCTTGTCCCCTAACACTCCCTACCCCACCCTTGACACTCCAGCTAAAGGAACCAGGTCACTGCTGACCCCAGTATGAAGACAAATCAAAAAAGAAAGCCACAATGTTACATCCACCGAACGTGAGTGCTGAGTGTATGTGGAGAAGTGAGTGCGTGGGATTCGAGGGGGGAAGAGCAGCAGACCAGAAGCTACTCTCCAATCCAGGACCATCTCACAGATCTGTGAACTTGTCTTTGTTGAGGGCTTTTAAAAATGTTTTGTAAATCTTTCCTTTAAGCCACCAGTACCAGATCACAAAACCTTTACCATGAATACATACACCCCAGGCAACTCGCAGCTGAAGAGCCGGTACCTTTCCTGCCACCTCCTACCAGTGGCAGGAACAGTACAAAACTAGCCCACAGCCTGGGAAGAAAGGCGGGCAGGCGGCGGCGGCGGAGCAGAAGGAGCAGAGCAGGAGGAGCGCTGCACGG